CACATCCAGAGCATTACAATCCCATTTTCCACTAAAAAATAGCCCCATATGCATCCGTGATTGGTAGGTGATGCTTTTTGCCGGCAACATATTTCAAGGCAAAGACTGTCACTGAAATCTGCATTTTTTGTGACAGTGAATTGCATGTATTGGGAGAGAAGATTTCCAAGATTGTTGAGTACCAAGCAGATTCAAGAGCTAAAGAAGAAAGGGTGTCCACTTGTTGGGATCTCTGATATAACATGTGATATAGGGGGCTCAATAGAGTTTGTCAATCAAACCACATCAATCGACTCACCTTTCTTCAGGTATTTCAATGCTAGTTTCATCTTCAAAAATGCATCTGATATATACTTCACCTTGATTTGATACACCAGATAATCTTTCCAATGGACACTTGAACAAGAAAAAGAAATACACTGTATTGGTAATTAACTATCTAACCGTCAACAGTTGACCTCATTATCTCCCTTAATCAAGACCGTTGATCGTAATTGTTGGTCAACAGGTATCATTGAGTGGCCACTTATTTGATCAGTTCTTGATAAATGAGGCTCTGGATATAATTGAAGCAGCCGGTGGTTCATTTCAATTGGTGAAGTGCCAAGTAGGCCAGAGTACAGATGCCACGTCTTATTCAGAACTTGAGGTAAGTATTATAATTAGTGCTTTAGGTTATTTGTGGCTATGGTTATGCCATCGAACTAGTGGTAGCCGTTCGGGTAAAGTACAAAAATGGTCCTTCAACTATAGGATATTATTTTGTTGTATTTTTCGACTATTAAAAGTTATAAAATGATCATCTGACTATTCATATGTTATGAACTCGTTCTTTCTTGTTAAAATATTGATGATAGCAGGTTATCGTCTAGCTCATGTGATAATCAATTTTTAAATGAAAAATGATGAGTTTGGAACATGTTAATAGTCAGGCGACTATTTTGTAAATTGTAATAGTCAGGAGACTCAACAAAGAATCGGCGCACTATAGCTGAGGGACCATTTATGCACTTTACCCTAGCCATTTTTAGTTTCAACTTTGTTCTTGATTAATATAGTTAATTGAATCATATGTTCTCAAACTATGACTCTCATTTCAAATTAGTCCTTAAACTTTTAAACATTCTAATTTCATCCTCAAATTATAACCTTCATTCTAAATTAGTCCTTAAACTTTTAGAACTTCCAATTTCATCCCCAAATTCATCCAAATGTATAATCCATTTCAACCATAGTTTAACCTAAATTTTATTTTTTTCAAACATATAATAATATAACTTGGCCTATTGATTTTATTAACAAGAGATGTGATTAGTATACATGTATAATTTAGGATAAAATTGAATTATTCAAAAAGTTTGGCGACTAATTTAGAATGAAGATCACAATTTGAAGATGAAAATGAAATGTTCAAAAGTTTAAGGACTAATTTAGGATGATAGTCATAGTTTAAGGATGAAAATGAAATGTTTAAAAGTTTGGGGACTAATTTGAAATGAGAGTCATAGATTGGGGACGTATGATGCAATTAACTCTGATTAATCTATAAAAAAAACATTAAAATTATTAACCTTTATTCATGGTTTCACTCGTGGTTGCGTGATCATACCAATTACGTGGTTCATATATAGGCATAAGTTGTTATTTTCTTAGATGAAGAGAATTTCAATTCATCAAGAATTGAAAGTGACTTTCAAGCCGGAATTCCTTGGCTGTATTCATCACAAGAAGCCGTGTTGTTTTTTGTAGGTTGGTGCAGATGATGGTAACGTTCTGGATCAGATCATTGATTCATTAACTTCCATAGCTAATCCAAGTGAGAATCATGGAATCCGGAATCAAGTTATGAACAAGATTTCCTTCACAGTTGATAAGTTACAGGAAACTGGGATGAAGCAGGAATCCGACTCGAAAATGAAGACATCGGTTCTCATACTCGGTGCTGGCCGGGTCTGCCGACCGGCCTGCGAGCTTTTGGCATCCATCGGAACTGGTTCATCTCGCCAATGGTATAAAACGTGCCTCGGAAATGATTCGGAAGAGGAAATGGATGTTCGTGTTGTTGTTGCATCTCTGTACCTTAAAGATGCTGAAGAGGTCATAGTTTAGAGATCCCCATTTTCAGTCTTTTGCACATCGAAGTTTATGTTCTGATGATATTATGGATTTTCCAGATAATTCAAGGGATTCCGAATACCACAGCTGTTGAGCTTGATGTTACTGATCATGGAGCTCTTTGTCGGTATATTTCGCAGGTAATATCTTGTTGTGTACTTTGATTGGTAAGCCTTTTGCTAAGTATGCTTCATTGTTTGCAAGGCTGAGATCATTCTTTCTGTGCCATGAACACAGGTTGTGGTCGTTATCAGTTTGTTGCCAGCTAGTTGCCATGTTGCCGTGGCAAACGTGTGCGTCGAGGTACTTTCTCAACCATAATTCGGCACTTGGAAAATTTCGAGACGCTAAATATCTTTTTTTTTTGTCGAAATAACATCTCTTCATGCAGCTTAAAAAGCATCTTGTGACAGCAAGTTATGTTGACAATGCCATGTCAATGATGGATGAAAAGGCCAAGAATGCTGGCATTACAATTCTTGGTGAAATGGGATTGGATCCAGGAATTGGTGATCTTTCAATCTATTCATGCTAGTGTTTTGCCTTCGATAACAAAGCATTAGACACCTTCGTCCGACGCCTTGTCGGACGTGGATACGAAGATATGACCATCCTAAGACCGACCCAACGCATAGAAAATGTACTGATGGATTAAACATGCTGTTTCCTGCTTTTCAGATCATATGATGGCAATGAAGATGATAAACCAAGCACATCTCAAAAAGGGCAAAATAAAGTCTTTTACTTCCTATTGTGGAGGGATCCCATCTCCAGCGGCTGCAAATAATCCATTAGCATATAAATTCAGGTGCATTTGGTTCGGTTTTGAAGTTAGAAGGCCAACTAATTGCTTCCACATTGATATTACTCATATAAATGAACGGAAATCATTAGAGTTTCATGTTTAGCACCATTCTTAAATGTCAGTCCATTGGCAGTTTCTGACTGAATCGTAGAATTTTCAGTTGGTATCCAGCCGGAGCTATTCGAGCCGGGCAAAATCCTGCCACATATAAATCTCAGGGTGAAACTGTACATGTAAATGGTAAATTGTTAACTTCTTTAACATGTCAAAGAAAAATGTCGTATGCATCCATGTAAACTTCCTTTTATACTATCATGCATGTGTTAGATCACCCTTTTACACAACACACACATATGATTATTGATTCCAACTTTTGGATTTTCCTTTCATTGTTTCACTTAGCCGATCATGTTTTCAGGGAATGACCTCTATGATTCGGCTGTGAAATTCCGGATACCCGATCTTCCGGCTTTTGCATTGGAGTGCTTGCCTAATCGTAACTCATTAACTTACGGTGATCTTTACGGGATCGGACAGGAAGCATTCGGAACTCTCCGCTATGAAGGCATGGAATGCACCTCTTTTGCTAATCTTATTCTGTTTAAACTTCAATGCTAGAAACTTGAATCTTAATATCGTTATATTTTGGACAGGTTTTAGTGAGATAATGGCCACACTTGCAAGAATCGGTCTATTCAATGATGAAACTCATCCACTTCTGCAACATGAAAATCGACCCACGTTTAGAAATTTCCTCTGTGAACTTTTGAAGTTCCATACCAATGGCATGGATGAAGCTCCTGTTGGGGAAAAATTGATAACCGAAAGGATCGTTGAACTCGGACATTGCAAGGAGCGAGGAGTTGCAGTAAAGGCTGCCAAAACAATCCTGTGCGCCCAGTTTACATTCTAATAACAATTATCTGTTCTTTTGACATGACAATCAAAAGTTGCAGACTAAAACTCTCATCTTTTCCAGGTTTTTGGGACTAAATGAACAGACAGAAATCCCCGTTTCGTGCCAAAGTGCATTCGCCGTAATATGTCATCGCATGGAAGAAAGGCTTACTTATTCTGATACAGAACAGGTATATATACGTTTCTTGTAAATAAAGGAAAACAAATTTGATGAGGAAAATGTAAGATTTAAGTTTTTCACAAGCTGTTTGATTGAATTCTCAGGATATGGTTTTGTTGCACCACGAGGTGGAAGTAGAATTCCCCGATAGCAAACAGACTGAGCATCATTCGGTGACACTACTGGAATTCGGGAAGGCTAAGAATGGGAAAATGACATCTGCAATGGCCCTTACTGTCGGTGTTCCAGCAGCAATCGGAGCTCTGGTATTTTTACTCTTCTTTGTCTTATACATCTAATCCGGCTGAAAGCTCTTCGAATTTAACTCGTTAGTGATTCTGATGGCTTCAGCTTTTACTTGTAAATAAGATCAAAACACGAGGTGTGTTGAGGCCTATTGTTCCTGAAGTTTATATACCAGGTAATTTTCACCATACATATTGCATATTGATTCTTGACCGTGGGATATATTAAGCTTAACTAAGATTGATTTGTGGCAGCTCTGGATATTGTTCAAGCCTATGGTATTAAACTGATGGAGAAAGCAGAGTGATCAATATATATATATATATATACATATATATTCTTGTGGAGAGTAGACATGCTGGTTCTAAAACCAGACATTTCAAAGTAGGAGAAGATGGTGCCAATCTCTCACAACTTAAGTGCATATAAATTATTCCGTACCACTGCTACAAAGTATATAATGTGTATATTCTTGTTCAATTCGTGCCAAATATTTGTATCATCTCAATGACCATATGAGCCATGTAAAGGAACATATGCATTACTTGAATGCTATTGCTTGCTAGTACATGTGAAGATATAATGAGATTAGCCTTTGCTGCTTCAGTGGAATCATGGATAAGAAACGCATTATTTCACTCACATTCCTTACAGTTTTGCCTTAAATGTTAACCAGCACAACCATATCCCCACCTTTTGGCTGGTCTCCTACTCTCCTTACAGTTGATTCTCCCCCAAGCAAACCAATAACCTCAATTTCGGCCCTATCGAATGTTCTAGGGTTATGAGAAACAGTTAACAAAACTAAGTTGTAGGATCCTGACCATAGAGAGTATCTTAAAGGATAGAAGAACTAAGGATCCACGACGCTATTTGTCGTTCCACTTCTTCCCAGTTATGTACTTTGGTCACCAAAGGGTGTTCTTCCGCTGATTGTGTCTTACACCATGGATACGAGTTCTCGAAATCAAACAGCAGAACTCTGATGCCAACCTGAGCACACTCAAGAGCATATCTCGGGTTATCATCAATTAGGATTTTGGCTCCTAATGACCTGCAAGAAGAATTAACTCGCCGAGAAAAAAAAAATCAGAAATAACTTCTCCAGGGAATTAATAAACTCATCAAGACAACTACCGCGGAGAGATGCTGGTTTACTTGCATTATATAAACGATACAGAACAAACATGCTTGAGATTATTAAAGAATTCATGGATGAAAGTAAATGTTAAGGGCTTATGTGCATACCGGCATATTTTCGACTTAGGTCTAGATTTGCCATCAAGAGCAAAATGGTTGCCAAAGTGAATCTCCTGGAAAAGTCCAGGATAGTGCTTCTCTAACCACTCAATTGTATGGTCCTTGATCACATTCTGCCGAGACCTAATCATAAATTTATGAAAAACCAGCTTATGAACAGAGGTCAAAGACAAAGACATTATTAACGAAGATAGTACGCACACATACGTCACGACCGAAAGGCTACAGAATCTTGATAACTTGTGAAGGGCCATATGAGCACCTGGGAGGGGGTGGATACCTTTCTTGAAATATGGTGTCTTGAAGAACTCATGGACACGGATATCGGCTGTCAAAACAAGAAAACAGGACATGTTCTGAAATACTTTTTAGCCAGAGCAGACTCAACAGCAGGTAAAGAATACGTGCAAAATGAAGAAACATTAGCAAGTTCGCAAAATTTGACAATTGATATGTATTAAACTTAATCAGATACTATTCCTTTTTCCGGATGAAAAAAGAAATTCCTTGAATCCCTTCTTAACATGGATCTACTTAGCATGTTTACTTAAGGTTGAAATATCAAAGAACAAACCCACAAAGGGCTACATCTAGGTTGAGAACAGCGGAATTAACAAGCATGTCTAACGATACCTTCATCGCGAGAACAGTTCCATATCTGTAACAAAAATAAACAAGGCATTAGAACATTTATTGAACAAGCATAACCAACATCAAAAAAAGAGCTGATTATCAAAAGCAGAAAATACAGGGACAAAAGTAAAAGCCACTAAACTAAAGATTCCATGTCCCCAACTGCAAGGTAAAACAATAACACAAGACTGGACTCTGCAGCTAAAAACCCAATAAACCCTTTACATATGCCTACACCAAACATATATAGATATTCATGGCATTAAAATGAGCTTTTGGAGATCAATGAAGAGCCGGGTTTTTTTTTTTTTTTTGTTTAATATCTTCTTTGGGTATTTGCTCTTTGGGGCTTACCATCCTTTTCCAACTTAATTGAAATCAACATTAATTGACTTACAGTACCAAAAGAAGGCCAATTATTCTCGGTCTTGACTTCATTCTACTACTATTCACAGCAAAAAGTAAATAAATAAATTGTGAAAAAAGAAGTGTTACCCTGAAAAACTCGTACACATGGTACTCTGAAACTGTATGATTCAACGAGTACCGATCCGCTATAAATCTATTCAAAGCCGACACAAAGTTTCCTAGTACTGCTTATACCAAAGAGCCAAGAAAAAAATTAATAATTGCGTTAGAAAGTACATATTCTTTCACGCCAGAAAAGGGAAGTGTTGGCAGGAAAAAATTGTACCTTCATCGACATCGACAGCAACCACGATTTTCTCCGGCGACGGCTTGTCGGGAAAATCAACAGTCCCCCTCTGAAACGATCCGTTAGAATCAGCCGCCGTCTTTGCCATTTTCTGGGGTTCATTATGATTAGATATTTCCAACTCGCGCGTCAATTGGGAAGCAAAGACGACTGCTTTCTGATCCCAGTTTATAGGGGATTTCTCGAAACAACTCTTGATACTCAAATTTAACCCAGTAGCCGCTTTGTTAAACTTAAAACCGCCGCCGCCGCCGCCGCAGACATTGTAATTATCGAGTGGTACGAGTTTGAGCTGCCGCTGGTCGCTCGGCAACGAGTGGAGCTGCCTCGAAAACGGACCGTTACGAGCCGAAAACGCCATGCTCTTACGATTACAGTCAGAGATTTGATTGAATAACGATCGAACACTGCCACTTTGCTTCTTTAACATAACGAAGCTCTTCACATCCCAGCTTTTCCCACCAGGTAAACGGAGACAAGCAATAATGATTTTGCAGCAAAAAAAAAAATCATTAAAATAAATCTATAAACTAATATAAAATCAAAGAAAAGAAAAAGAACCCCAGAAAAAGTAGAATTTGAGACGGAAGATAAAGTAGGAAAAACAAAAGCGCCGCCAAAAGATTTATTTATGATGAAAATGAGGGATTTTTTTTAAGGATACCCACAAATTAAATTTCGATGAAAATGAATATTTTTTTAAAATAACATTTTTTTTAAGTAAAAATTTAAGTTAGAGGTGGTTATATAGTTCTGAAATAGTACATATTTAAGACGTAATTAAGATTTATATATGAATTTATATATTGTTTTTCAAGAGTAACGGTCATAAATCTCAACCGTTTGTACTAACCCTCGTTGGCTAAAAATAATATTTTTTTAATATTATTATAAGACATTATGTTTATGTTGTTCTAATTAATCTAAAATGATTATAAGTGATAGCCGTTAATGCTCAAATTCTAAATCTCTAAAGACAACATTCATCCCTCTAATCTATGTGATGGTTTGATTCTTGTTGTTCATACTTTTTTAATTAAGGTAAATAATACCATTTATCATTAAACTTTATTCTTTATTCTATTTTACTCATTGTACTTTTAATATTGTGAATTTACTCGTTGAAATTTTAAATTACTCTTGATTTGACCACTCTGAATTATTTTATTATTACTTTGATATAACATGCTATTTTTATTATTATTTAATATTAAAATAATTTAAAATAAATAAATTAAACCTAAATGGTGATTAACAATGACGAGAAGGAACGATGATTGTTTTAAATCATTTTAAATTTAATAATAAAAAATATTATTTTTATATTTAATAATATATAAAAATGTCATGTCATAGAATAGTAATAATAAAATAATTTGTAGTGACCAAAACACGAATAATTCAAAAGTCTAATGAATTGAAAGTGCATTGAGTGAAATATGAGATATAATAAAATTCAGTGATGAATGGTGTAGTTTATCCTTTTAATTATTAGTAATTCATATATTATTTAGATACAACTATTCCAACCTAAGATTTCTAAAGAAAAATAATGCTCTCTTACACTATGAAGACTATTTAACGTTTCTGTAAATTTAATGGTTGTCACACTTATTATTTGTAATATTATATAAATTTTAATTTTAGATATTATAAAATTACAAATAAATAAATTAAAACATATAAACTAAATTCATAAATTAAATATAATGTAAGAAATAATAAAAAGAATATAATCTTAAAATTAATTGAATTTAACAATGAATTATTAGTATTGTAAATGGTTAAATTTCAATGTAAAAACAAGTTTAAAATGGTCAACGGGTTCTAAGAAAAAAAGTAACTTGAGAAAATGAAAGTGTCGATTGCCTGTTTTGACTGCAGCAAAGGCAATGAAAGGATTAAAATCAATGAACACCGCAGATAACTAAACCCACAATCCCCAGAATCAAAGATGCAAACATGGCTTCGATTTTCGCAGCCGAAGATCTGTAAACAGAAGGAGACGCCTTTTGTTTTCGGGTGTCGATCATGATCTCGAAACGGCACGGCGGCTTCGACGGATCAACGGTTGTGATAACAGCCAGGTTGTTAAAAGAACATGCGCCTTTACTTTGATTCGTGGTCTGAAAATACGTGTTGAACGCATAAGAAGCGTTGCTTTGAGCATCGAGGTTCCCACACGAGGAACCATAGCCGAGGCTGGTGCAATCGCCGTTCTCGCAAGCGTAGGTGATGCTCTGAGCCAACGTGTTGGGGTCCGAGACGCCGGCCGAAGGCGACATCACGCACCATTTCTTGGCTAAATACTTGACACCTTTGGCTGGCACGATGGGACGCCCATTACCCATATCCAGTGGATACTTGATGCTTCCATCGTATTTAAAGATACCCCAATGCCTCTCGAAGTTCCCCGGCAAGGTGCTCTTATGGTCTTCGTCGATGAGCGAAAAGATATAAACATCCGGTGGTGTTCGCCGCCGTGGACTGCCTTGGCCTTGGACTATACGGTCCAGAAGTGCTTGGTTGAACCTCTTGGCGTTCTCGACGTTGGCACCAGGATCACCATCAGTCGGCCAGCCAACTTCACCGATGACGACCGGCATACGTCCGAAGCCGTTTTTCTCTAGAGCCGAAATGAGTGTATCGAAGTTGGCATCGTACACGTTGGTGTAAACGATGGAACCGTCGACGAGGGGCTTAGCAGTGTTGTTGAAGAAAGCATATTCTTTGGGGAAACTAGGGTCTGCTTGCATACTAAGAAAAGGGTAGATGTTGATGGTGAGGAAGCCACCGTTGTCTTGAAGGAACTTGATGATGTTCATCATTAGATTCTGGAGTTCGGGTCGGAAATATCCGCCTGAAGGTAGGCCGGAGTCGGTCTGGTAGACGTCGGCGTTTAGCGGGATGGTCACCTTCACTTGCTTGCCTAGACCGGCTTTGATAAGAGCTGCTTCAATGTTTTGAAGGGCTGGAAATATTGTACTCACGAACTGATCTTTGTAGTCCTGTAGGAACGGTTCATTGCCTATGGCTACCGACCTGCAAAGTTGTGATGATACACTGAATATACAATTTATGTATTATACAAGGACTAAAACAGAATTTAACCTAAAACTACTTGTTCATGCATTTTACGTGAGGAACATTTTGTACACATAATTTGTAAAAGAATGCACCTTATATCAGTCCCATAGCTGGATATATATTTGGAAACATTTTGTTGCACCCATGCCTCGGCATTTCCCACAGCACTAGCAAGCGAAGCCAGCATGTAATTTGGTATCCCAACCATAACTTGGATACCCGACCTGCCGAGAGCCTTGAGTGCACCGGGATCAGCTTCGAACAGCTTCACTTTGTTGAACCCGTTGTCTTTCAAGAGCCTGACCACTATGTCGGCCGGCAACGGGTGAGTCGATTGCAGCCCCCAGTTGCAAGCCAACCCCGAGAAACCCTCGGCCAAGCCTCCATACCCTAGCAGGCAAAGAAGACTGAGCAGGGACCAATGGATTTGACCCATTTCTGGAGATCAACGTGTGAGTCTGTGTATCTGCTTTGAGGTTTGCTTGCATGTGCTTATGTATGCAGTGGTTTAGGGTTTAGAATCCACATGAGGTGGGGGAAATGTGCTTTTACCAATGGAAAAGGGAAGGCAAGGAATTTCATGTTAAAGACTCAACAAGGAACCAGATTACAAAGGAAAACTCAAATTCTCAATTACCTGTTGCAAGTGTTCGAACCAATGATCTCACGGAATAACAATTATTCATTTAATCAATGAGATAAGTTGGTTCGTACAATATTCACTAATCCTTAAGTTGATGATTATATTATCGGAATAATATGCTTATAATTATACCTTACTATAATTTGGAAACGTTTGATGCACTTAATGGGCAGAGGTATTGTAAAGCAAGAAAGGTATAGAGTGAAAATGGCGGACATCATTACGTGCATGGATATTCAATTGGAGCCAAAAAAACAAAAACAAAAACCAGCATACAAGGAATGGTATGCTTACTTTGGAACAAGGATCTTTGTTTGCATGGACGGACACATTAATTTCGAGGTTAAAACAAATTTTCAATAGAAAAATCAATAATATATAGTAATTTTAAAATTTTAGAGGGGACAACTACCCCAGCAGCCCCTTCCTCAACCCATCCATGTTTGTTTGGTCTTACAAAAGTTTCATCTTTCATGGTAAGTCTCTTTTTGGATGTTTCTCTTTGCCACGTACAATATACCCCATTTAGTTACAAATCATTTAATATTCATTTTATATTGGTTTAGATTCTACTTTTAAATGTTAATTTGATATTTTATCTGGAATTTATAAGTTAAAATTTTATTTTATTCAAATTTAGATATTAAATTAAAAACTATCTCATTTTACTAACAATCTAACATTCTACATCATCAAATTAACAATATTTAACACCCCACTTATCAAAATGTTATAAATCAATATAATAAGTGATCAAAACATTACTTTTTAAAATTTAATAGCTAAAAAGTGAATACTTATGAAACAAATATGACAATTTTGGTAGTTTACTCAAAAAGATATAGAAGAAAGTAGACCCGCCCATTTAAGATTGAACCAGGCCGACTAGGTAGCCTTGGGCTCGACGGCCGACACCAATCAATTATGGGTAAAATTGGGCCAATAAATCAGATAGGTAAAAAAATTAGTCCATTAGACTATCTCTAAAATTAATTTAGGGTCTACGATAAATGCTACAGTGCAGGGAAAACTCGTCATGCCCACCTTTGCCAAAACGGTAATATTATTCAAACTTTTTATGCCGACGTGACGAGTTTCAATAAAATATAATTTTTATTAGAATTTATCACATCATGGTGGAAAATATGAATAAAAAATATTTTATTAGAATTTATCGAGTTTCAAACCAATTTAACAACTGTTGTAGATCCCGACGTGACGAGTTCTAATAAAATATAATCTTTTATTAAAATTTATCACGTCAAGATGAAAATTTTGAATAAAAAATATATTTTATTGAAACTCGTCCGTAAATCTCTAAATAACTTACTTAGGACCAGTTTGGCAGGGCTTTCGAAAAGTAATTTTTAAAAGTGCGGTAGAAAAGAACTTTTAAAAATACTGTTTAGAATTATAGTTTAAAATTTGTGTGTTTGGGATCATTACTAAAAAGTAAGTTTGAAACGTGCATTATAGATATTATGTTGTAAATTAAAATTATAGAATTTAAATTATATTTACAATTATTTATACTATGATATATAAAATAAATCACTTAAAAGCATAATAAAAATATAAAATAAATTAAAAGAATTATTAAATAATAAATTATTAAGTAATAAATTATTTTTTAATCATGTTAATATTAAATTATTAATTATATTAAATATAGAACTTAAATTGTATTTATTTTTAAATAATTAAAATAAAATGTTAAGTAATAAAATATTTTTAAGGACGTCAATATTAAATTATAAGAATAAAATAAAATTATATAATTGAGTGTATATTAATATGAATAAAATTATAATTTGTCCCTAAACACAATATTAAAAATGAAAAAAACTACAAATCCTAGTTTAAGAGAACCTTGCTGTAGGCGATAACATGCAAGGAGAAGCTTGCTGTAGGAGATAACATGCAAGAATTGCCATGCAAGCACACATTTCATCCTCCTTGTTTAAAGCCATGGCTGGTAATTAATAGTGCTCGACTTTTATTTGATTAGTGGTATACTACAATCCTAGTTTTAAAGATCGAGGATGAAATGAGGTTGTGGGTTGTCTGATTAAAATGGTTTTTGTGGCAGGATGGGCACAGTTCTTGCCCGATTTGTAGATATGAGTTGCAAACGGACGACCATGACTACGAGAGCTGGAAGGAGCGTGAAAAGGAGGCTGAAGAAGAGAGAAAAGGTGCCGAAAATGCTGTTCGCGGTGGTGAATACATGTATGTGTAATCGTGTCGGTCACTGCTCTTATTGGATTTATACTCGATGTCAATGATATTCCATTATTGTATTTAAACACATGACTAAGTGGTATAATAAAGATTCTGATAATATCTGTCTGATGGTTTTGACATGATATGGGTTTTTTTATATATATAATCATCGGTATCTGATTTGATCAGTATCGTAAAAGTTTATGATAGAGAACCAATTTTCCTAACGGTCGCTCTTTGGTTCCCCCGGCCGTTTTCCAATGACTTTATTTGCCAAGGAAGCAGCTTCGTCGGGGATCATGCCGTTATACAGGGGCACGATCCATCCGTTGATCCCGAACATGGCGTTCGTGGGGTACGTCGAGAGCGTTTCGAATCTTCACACGGCGGAGCTGAGGTGCAAATGGCTGTCGAGGCTGGCCGATGAAGTGTTCAAGCTCCCGAGCATCGAGAGGATGCTGGAACAGACAGGGGAAGAAATGGAGATCATGAAGAAGACGACCGGGTTCTACAAGAGGCATTGCATCTCGACTTTTAGCATTAATCACAGTGATGAGATTTGTGAAGAGATGGGGTGCAAGTCTTGGAGGAAGAACAATTGGCTGTTGGAAGCTTTTGCTCCTTATAACAGTAAGGATTATGGAGAAGATAAATAAAATAATTTGGATTGTTATGTATTTATCTATTAATTTATACAATGACTGAATTAAATAAAATCGGTAAATTACGCAAATAGTCTTATGATTATATGATATTGTTTTATTGATTCACTTGACTATTAAAAGTTATTAAATGGTCATTCGATTATAGGGAGTTGCTTTGTTAAGTCACTCGACTATTAAAAATTACAAAATGGTCATTCAACTATTCATTATATTCCAAACTCGTCCTTTTCCGATAAAAAGCTAACGGTAATATGAGTTTAACGTTAACATGCTAATTGAGATATGATACTCATTCGAAATTATGAGATCATATTTTATCATATCTCATTCAACATGTTAATGTATAGCTCAGTCTCTCGTTAATTTTTTAACGGGAAATGACGAGTTCGAAACATAATAGATAGTCAAATGATCATTTCGTAACTTTTAATAGTTAATGGACTCAATAAAGTAACTCTTTATAGTCAGTTAATCATTTTGTATCTTTTAATAATAGGATCATTTATGTACTTCACCCAATAAAATGTTAATTTTTATGTTAAAATTTGTTTGATTGGCTTTATTTATGAGAAAATTATCCATGTATGTATATATTTCCCATTGTTGCATATGATATTATAATAGTCGGTCTAACCATACGATTCAAAGCTCAATTGCCCGTTTACTCAAAACGTACTTTCACATTGGGAGGCAGTGGCGGATGCACTAAGCCCCATAATGCTAAGTAGTGCATCCCTATTATTTTGAAAATGTGATTAAATTTAGCTTAAAGTGTTAAGGAAAAAATAAAAAAATTACAATTTTTGCATACCTATTAATTTTAAGAAAAAAGAATTAAAATTTTGGACTCCCATTTTTAAATTTCTGGATCCGCCACTGATAGGATGCATCGATCTTTTCGTTTTATATTATATTGGATTTAATTACATCACATGTCCTCAAATTATGACTTTTATTTCAAATTAATCCTTAAACTTTTAAATATTCCGATTTCATATTCAAACTATAACTCTCATTTTAAATTAATCCTTAAAACTTTGAACATTCCAATCCAAACTATGAATGCCATCCTAAATTGGTCCCTAAATATTTAGATCTTCCAATTTTATCCTCAAATTCATCCAAATATATAATTCGTTTCAACCATAATTTAACCTAAATTTTATTTTTTTATTTTTTCATACATATAATAATATAACTTAGCCTAACGATTTTATTAACAAGAGATGTGATCAATATATATGTATAATTTAGGATAAAATTGAAATATTCAAAAAGTTTATGGACCAATTTAGAATGAAGATCATAGTAATGAAATTTTTAAAAGTTTGAGGACTAATTATTTAAGGATAAAATTAAAATGTTCAAAAGTTTAAAGATCAATTTGAAATGAGAGCCATAAATTGGGGACGTATGATGTAATTAACTCATTATATTGTCACTGTAAAATATTTTTAACGATTATAAGATATATACTAATTTATATATGAAAGACTTTCAATCATTGTGGTAACTACAGATGTATTAAACTACTCAGCCATACCATGAAGCTATGGGAAAGGCTGATAGAGGCTAGGTTGAGACAAGTTACTAGGGTTTCGGAAAACCAATTTGGCTTTATGCCAGGCAGGTCTACCACGGAGGCGATTCATCTACTTCGACGGCTTATGGAGAAATATAGGGAAAAGTCTAGAGATCTTCACATGGCGTTCATTGACCTTGAGAAGGCTTATGATAGCGTTCCCCGCGATACGATCTAGAAGACTTTGGAAACGAGACAGATCCCAACTGCATATATCTGGGCGATTCGTGATATGTACTGTAGATCTACTACATACGTCAGGACTACAGTTGGCGACACCGCGGCTTTCTCGGTGGAAATCGGACTCCACCAGGGGTCGGCCCTTAGCCCTTACATCTTCGCCTTGATTATGGACGACATCTATTGTGCGACACCAGACGGTATACCATGGTGTATGCTTTTCGCTGACGACATTGTCCTAGTTGCTGAAATAAAATCTGAGTTGAATAGTAGACTGGCTACCTAGAAGACTGCTTTGGAAGAAAAAGGTCTAAGGATCAATATTGAAAAGACAGAGTATTTATGTTCAAACTTCAGTGGGAACTAAAATGATGAAGATGTAGAAGTATGCATAGAAGGACACATTCTACCCTAAAAGGATTGTTTCAAGTACCTAGGATCTATGATACATAAAGATGGGGTGTAGATGATGACGTTACACACCGTATAAAGGCGGGATGGCTAAAGTGGAGGACCGCTACTGGAGTTTTGTGTGACAAGAAGGTGCCTCTAAAACTTAAGAGAAAATTTTATAGAATGGGAATAAGACCAGCGCTGTTGTATGGATCAGAATGTTGGGCAATCAAGAAGGATCACGTAAGGAGGATAGAGGCCGCAGAAATGAGAATGCTTCGATGAACATGTGGTAGGACTCTGTGGGATATGACAACAAACTCTGCTATTAGGATGTCCTTGGGGGTGGTGTCTGTTTCCGAAAAATTGAGGGAGGGAAGACTACGGTGGTTTGGGCATGTCCTTAGGCGACTACCGTCAGATGCGGTCAAGAGGGTAGAGTCGATTACAGTCGATGGTGCCAGAAGGAGAGGACGACCAAGGCGGAAGTGGGAAGTGGGAAGACTGCTTGAGATCTGATTTGATGGATTTAGCCCTTACCAAGGACATGACCTCTGATAGGAAAGTATAGAGACTTAAGACTAGGGTAGTCGAGTAGTGTGGGTCACATCTATAGGGTGTATCATCTCTGTCTTCTTTTAATGCCTTTGTAGTAATTCCCATGACTTCTACTTTTTATACGTTTCTGTTATTGGTATTTATGAAGGCTTAGAACTGGGCTTGCTATCGTTGACTTCTGTGTATCATTCTCTTCATGTTTCCTCCTTTAAATTTAGTCAGGTCTTACGTTTCTGTCTATATTCATATAATTTTTTCGCAGGGATTTATTTGCAGGGATTACTTCCCATTACAAACACGCATATGATATTAATGACTACATATGAATACTGTTCAACTATGTATTTATGTATTTATTTATACATGCATTGCATTTTATCTATATTTTTAATTTTCTGACTGCCGAAGGTCTTCCACGGAAGCTACTCTCAACCTGGCGTTGGGGGCAGCCTACTACCCTACCTCCCTCTTACCCCATTGCATATGGGAATTGGGTTTTGTTGTTGTTGTCGTCAATCATTTGACCATTGAACTTTCAAACATTCCATTAAACATCATGCTCGAATATAAAATCTTTAAAAATAATAATACCGACATCACTTAATTAATACATTATTTTCCCCATTTTTTTAATATTCAAATATTTGATTTAAAGATAAAAGTTTAATTGATAGCATGTTTAAAATTAACAAAAATAATTAATAATATTACCAATTATATTTTTATTTATTTTTAACCCAGACAAGTAGAGGGAATAGATTCTGAAATTAAAAAACATGGACTAAATTTCAAGAAATGAAGAACGCAGGGACTAAAGGCATAATTTGACCTTTGATTAATTAAAATCTTAATCAATCCTCGTCAATTAAGCCAGCCAATGCCAATCCCCATCAATTTCTCCAATGTCCATGCTGTGAATCACACAACAATACAAGTCAACAAACACACAGAGGATAAAAAGGTAAACTCATTAAATCTAAAAATAAAAACAAAAACTTTTAAAAATCCATTTTCATTTTAAAACCTAAATTATGTTAAATATAAACCGAAAATACATACGACTCAAATCAAAATAAAAATATTAACAATATCAAATATACTTTGGATAAATTATGCGTTTAGTACTTAAACTATCAATTTTGATTCATTTTAATTTTAATTTTATTTTTTTAAAGTCATACCTAACGTTTAGTGTTTGTTTTATTTTAGTACATCACCGTTAAAATTTAACGGCATTGCATCTTTTATGAGTAAATTAAATTATTCATTACTCAACTATATTTTCACTCCTATTTTAGTATTAATATTTAAAAAGATTTTAGTTTAACTATTTAACTTTCAAATTACTCCTATTTTAATCGTTCTAATTTATTTTATTATTATTAATTTTGACATGATTTTTTAGTTATTATTTTATTAATATATAATTTAAAATAAGGAATTAAATTTGAAAAGTAGAATGATTAAATTATGAGTAATTTGAAAGTTAAGTAATTAGATTAAAAAAATAACCAAAATAGAAGTGAGAAGATAGTTGACTGATGAATGATGTAATTTACCCATAAAAAAATGTTTCACGTGTAAATCACCCATTAAATTTTTAACGGCGAGGTACTAAAACGAAACAAAAACTAAATTTTAAGTATAATTTTGAAAAATTAAAAATTTAAATACTAAAACGAAATAAAAATGGTAGTTTAGGTACTAATCACGTAGTTTACCCATAATTTTTTGGCAAGGATGAAGGTGGCATCTATTGGATCCAGCTTTATTATGTTTAACAGAAAACGGGGCAAACTTACTATTTTCTTGGTGAAAATGAGGTAAATTACTGCATTTTAATAAAAGTTTCATTCTAGATTATGGATTGAATTTATACTAAACTGCCAATGTATGAATAAGCATGGTGAAAAATCATGGTAATTTATACTTTTTTGAACTTGTTGTCTTTGAAATTTTGGGTACTATTACTTACCAAGGTAAGGCAGAACCCTGGATGTAGGTATCTGGGACAAGATCATCGAGATGCTGCCCCATGACGCTGTCATTTGCATTCAACCAGGCAGGGAATTCCATGGCTTGATCAAATTCATTCAAGAACTTGAACCAACGTGCCGATGTTACTAAATTCATGGTGTCATTCCACTCCATTTGATGCTGCTCTCCTAATGATTTCATCTCCGCCATTCCCTCGTCGTCCACAGCTTGATGCAAGCATCCCCCACCGTAGAATTCAGTCGAATCAGCCCCGGTTCCATGCCCCACTTCATGTGGAGCCGCAACAGATAGAGTCGATGAAGATGAAGATGAGGGAGATGAGTGGATTGAAGGGTTTTTTCTGTTGTGGTGAAAGTCAAGGTTTTGGCTTGGTAAACTGCAGTTCAAAGCTGGCCAAGTGTATGTAGACAAGTTGTTTGTGTTTGATTCAGAGTGGTGTGATAATTGCTGCTGTTGTTGTTGTTGCTCATTGGCTTGTTTCATGGCAGCTCTATGGAACTTGAGCGCAGTGACAATTTCTCTCCTGGCTTCAGCCATGTTAATCAGCCTTTCCTGGTAAGGCCTGCTGGTGTGCACTCTCCTCCTATTCCTAACCTGTTTCCTGTGTTGTTGAGGTGGTGGTGGTTCGGGTTGCTGGCCGTGGCTCTGTGCTGGTTCACTAAAACCATCTCCAAATTCGGTCAAATTCCGGCCACCGAAGCCATCAACGGATTCAGGGTCTTTGGTACATCTTGCAGAGACGAGTTGCCTAACCAGGCTACGGATATAAGCACCAGAGAGATGAGGCTCCTGTTTGAACCTTCTGTCAACCCCTGGCTTGGAAGATCGACCCTTCATATCTAAACTTTTTCTTCTTCTTTTGGATCTTTTTCTAATCTCTGAGAAACAAAGTACAAAAAACGCTGAGAGAAAGAGGTGCAGGTGGTGCAGGAGACTGAAGTTCCCATGCACCAAGGGGTGTTATAAATACAAGCTAGGGACTGACCTAGGGTTCCTAAATTGTTTGGATTTTTCCTAGTTTTGGCGATTGACATTTGTTTACCTTCATTACAAGCTTCAAATGGGGCAGTTAGGCTTTGGAGTTAGGACTCTCCTTTATTAAATTGCCCCTCCTTTTCAACTACACACATTTACAAAGAAGCTTGCATGTATTGCTATGTGTAACTATTTCATGCCAAGGTCAATTACTTAACATTACACAGGGTTTCTTTTGCTATTACTTGCATGTTTAAAATCTACAAAAGAAACAACATAGAATAAAACTGAGTTAGAGTTTTAAGCTCGACTCAAAATTAAAATCTTGAATTGAAGTTCGTAAAAGTTCGAAATGAAAAAAAATCTTAAACTTAACTCGATTAAAACTCAAACTCTAATTTGAAACTTATATGTATGAAAATTTTATACTTAATTTAAAAAAATAATATATAAATGTTAATATTGTTAATAATTTTATTTTTTTAAAAAATAAAATTTAATTTATTATATTTTCGAGTTATTCGTAAGATTTTCGAATCTATTCAAGTCTATTATTAAGTAGTTTATTTTAGTTTGTTAAAAACTCAAATCAAGCTCGAGTTCGAATAAATTTATTCAAATTGAATATTTATCGAGCTCTAATAGAATTAATCTCAAATAACTCATAATATGTCTCGTAGCTTGTACCACCCTACCCATGTTATGTGAACGGAGACAAGATCTGAATTTCCCAGGAAGGATTCAGCAAATGGTCTCTACTTTATCTTTTATCTGAATTTCACATCTTGAGTTTTTACCGGTAATATATGAACTTACAATAGTTAAAGACGAGACTGACAGAGGAATCTCCATTCCTGTCGAAACCGGACAAGATTTTTGGACCTGGAGAAAGGAGACAGCAATGCTCCATACCATCGTCTCCAATATCTTTTTTCTTGGTAAATTTTTACCTAAACATCATCTGTTGTCAATGGAGCAAAGGTTGCATTATTTTACTGTATCTCATGCATGACCATCTCATCTGTAGCAGTAATTTCTCTGGGTTTCTCTCTGTAAACGGTGAAATCCCTTTGCATGGAAAGTTGGGCGTCCAAAGCGACGGTAATTTGGGCAAGGGAGCTGTTTTTACATAGGAATATTAAATGTACAACGTGTTTGTGTTTACTTTCTTGTCAAAAATCATCTCTTTTTCTCACTGATTTAAAAAACTCGAGGTGGTAGAATTGATGATTCGAAGGCTTAAGAATGGGGGAGGGAGGGACCGCCTGCAAAACACAGACGGACATGATGTGACGGCTCATGATCGCACGGCTGTATTTCCCCCACTCAATGGAGGTTGGTGGGCGGGGAGCCATTTGCTGACAAATGGATGCAACGCGGCAGATTCTTGAAGCTCCACGTCAAAGCAGGTTGCCGCGTGGGAATGCGAGGAAAGGGACGATGACAACTGGCCACCGCCGAGAAAAAGCCTGCACCTTTATATCCCCTTCACGGCTCCGTTCACGATTGTCGCGTTTTGAACAAGACGGTGGAATTAATTTGTTTGGATAGAAAGCGAAAATAACATTGGCGGATATATAAATATTTTTTAATATATTTTTAATATAGTTTTTTTTATATAATTAGACACAAATAAAATTTTAGAGTAAATAATATTAATAAAAGATATAAAGAAATTCGGATACGTGCCCACCCTAGATGCCATGTAGATCCGTCACTAATTATGAGTTATAAAAAAACATTGACAAATAATTTATCGTAAATTAAAAAATATTAAACAAATAAATGTATATAAAAAAGGAATAACAAAAAATAATATTAGAATTCTAGAGGTGAGATCGTGATCATGCAGCCTTCTCTCACATTCATTTTCATCTCCATTTTAGCTTTCAAAGGTCCAAATTGAAAGGTAACTTTCCGCCATAACTGCGGTGGAGTTGGTGGCGGTGGGACCATTTCAATTTATCAACCTGCCACCAACAAACAACACATCACAAAAACCCCCAAGGCAAGAGTGCAGACCACAGCAGAGCAGCATGTTAAATTTCTGGAACCCTTTTTTATTACATCCATACGTGTGTGTGTATATAGCTCTGGTTATGGTTTTGAATCATGACAAGTTGCAGCCAATGAGAACCCTCCATCTCCAATCCTTTTCTATGCCAAGCCACACTCTCTCTGAATATAAAGGCCGAACAGATCACTTTCCTTCTCACCCTTTTTTTCCCACTTGAATGCAACCACTGAACCACATGATAGGAGCTTACAAATCTGTTGTTGACATGCATGAGTGCATGCTGCTACATACATAGTTGACATGCATGAGTGCATGCTGCAACATACATTGTTGACATGCATGGTCTACCATAGAAGGGATCAGCATAAGCAGACATTGAACATCCATGGAAGTGACCGCCCTATTCTAAAACTTACTAAAAAACCAAAACCAAAACATTGTAATCATCATCAGATCCTCATGTAACTCCCCCAACACTTTCTGACATCGTCTTGAACAATGTATCTATTTATATCTGCAAACTATGTGTGTTCCTTCATCAATTCAATACTGGTAAAACTATATCTCTCTCTCATTCATTTGAGCCTGCATTTTCGATTCTAATTAGTCGACCAAGCTTCAAATGGCTGTGTTTGCTTCAATCCCAGCATGTTCATTAGCCAGCCCTGCTACAATTTCATTAGCCAAGGGATCCTATTCTCAGCACAAAAGCTTCTCTACCACGGTAAACCCTTACCCCTTTCTGATCTAATAAAATGTGCATCGAGACGATCGAGTTGAATCGAGTTTCAATTGCAGGGAGGTCCCGTTGTATGTAATGGACTAAAGCTTATTCCAAAGATTCAATTCTCAAAGCAGACAAACAAGCTTTCTACTCGATCTAGCTGCTTTAAAATACCAGTTTCGTGCTCTCTTGTAAGAAACATAACTCCATTGATTTCTTTTTTTGCTCATTACAACTTTGTTTAAGCTCATCATCTTTGATACGTATTGGATTTTTCGACTAGGCCGATCCCGAGACGTTGAAAACCGTCCAAAACACCATTGCTAAGCAGTTGTCGATCGATGTGAGCTCGGTGACTCCTGAAACCAAGTTTGCTGATCTGGGTGCTGATTCCCTTGACACGGTATTTTCATCTCTTCAAGACGAATCCCACATTTGTTTTCTTCATTACAACCCTTTTTTTATCAGCTCCTTGCATCAAATTCACTTCAGGTGGAGATAGTGATGGCATTGGAAGAACAATTCGGAGTCTCAGTCGGAGAAAGCGGAGCCGAGACCATTGCAACCGTCCAAGACGCTGCGGACTTGATCGAGAAAGTGAAGGCTCCATAATAGGCCACTTACAGGAGTTCTTTTCTTCCTTTCCATTTTCCTTGACCAAGAGGCCAATTTTTGTTACAGGGTGATTTGTAGCCTGTGACTTGTCTCTTTGTTCTTTTCTATTTCATGCAAGCGAGAACAAAAATAATAAAAGCCAATGAATAAATATATGCATGAATCAATTTGAGCAAGAATCCAACCTCTTGTATATCCTATCAAGGGTGTTATTGTTGTAATTTGACACGGAGGTAGCATTGTTGATGAACCACCAAGCAGTTCCAGATACAGGAAATTCACAACTCATGAGCTTAGAGGAGTGCTTCAAGGGCCTATTCAAACTGTGAATATCTTTACATTTATTATATCCAATGCATATTATGTTGTTAACGCCTTTTTAACATGTAATTTATATTAACAAGTAAGATAACAACTAAAAATACAGAGTAAAACACTTACAAACAAATAACAAGGAGGCAATAAGCTTTGCTTAAAAAATCCATTTTAAGTACTGGCATATTTGAACTTTCAAACTCAACTGAAGCGACACAAACTAAATGTGCAAAAGAAAATAACCTCAAGTTTTATTTGTGGCTTTATTTGCATTGCTAACATGAGGAATCTCCAGCTCATCATCATTGGTTAGTGAAACAGCCTCTAAACCTTCCATGATTTCCTCTTCCTCAAAATCCGCATGTATGTTTTCCATCTCGGTATCACCCTCAATCATATCCTTTTCCTCAATTATATCTCTTTCCTCCATGGCTGACAGGTCACCGAAAGTAGGAATCTTTTTCTTCTTTCCTCTATAGCCAACAAAGCTCAGGACCTTTTCCTTCCATAACACCAACGGGCATTTCTCAATCAGCTCAGAACCTTCATAAGCTTCAGTCAAGAAAACACTGAATCTCTTCCCCCTTTCAGAAACATAAAAGATGCCAAAATGCTTCAAAAGAAGCCTCATCAACTTCTGCGGCATCACAAGCTCCCGTCGGAAATGAGTGAGATGATCGGTCACTAATCTCTTTTCAATAGTAAAGCTAAGTAACTCGTGCATAACAGCAACTGCTCTCTTATCAAATTCCAATGAGCCCGCTTTCAGCTCCCTAGCATCCGCATAGGGAGACAAATAAGACCTCTTCTGAAAATGCTCGATCTTCCCTCCATGCCTATACACCTTCTTGTAGTTAGGAGGGAACTTCAAAGGAAAAGGCAACGAAAGTACACCTGGTTCACGTCCAATCCCATCCTTCAAACCCAATGCCTTCTTCTCCACCTCTGTAACAGCCCAAGCAGGATTCCAATTCACAAGCTCCAGAAACTCAACCCCATCTTTAGATTTTACCACCCTAAAATGTTGTGGATACTGATTCACCCACTTGGTCCTAAACTCAACTGGCAAACCAAAATCTCTCCTAAAATTAGCAATCTTATCTAATTGAATCCGTTTATCGACCGACATCATCAGAATCCTAGTAACATACTCGACAGCTTTGGTTGATTGTTCCTCAATCAACCTTTCCTCTTCGTCCAACAAATCCTCAGCTTCTTTAGTCATCCCGCACCATAAGGCTCCCCTTTGATCCTTATATAATTCGAACAACTTGGGACATTTATCGATGAAGTCTGTTATTTTATGGGGTTTCGGTAAATTGATTTGCTTCCTGTATTGATACAATGACCTCACGGGGATAACCATCTCCGTTTCTCTCTTTATAACTTCCATCAAAAACAATACCTTAGATAATATTTTCCATTTCTCTTTTATAATCTCGAGATGATGAATTCGTTTGCTTTGGCTGCGGTCTTGGACTCGTCTACTGGAAGTCATTGGTCTAATTTGAAACCGTCCAAATAAGGGTTGTTGGTAACAGTTTCTTCTCAGAGACAAAAGATCAAACATTTGGTAAGTGTTTGAATGTAGCCGCTGGATACGTACTGATTTAATCAATAAAACTTGGTCTATAATAAACTGCATGGCCATTGCTTAAGCTTGATTGCTTTTTCAAGCTTCCTGGAAGGTATGGTTTGGGTTCAAAACAAGTCCGTCAGGAATTGGTGGGGGGGGGGGTTTATTTTTTTACCTCGTTTTCTGAGTGAATAAATATAAAAGGGAAAAGAACAAGTGAAGCTAGAGCTGAACGATGGCGGATAAGGCAGTGGACTTGAGGTTGGAAGGGAAAATAGACGGCGGCGATGACGGCGATCAGAACGCTGCGGAGGCAGCAGCGGCTATCATTAATTTGTCCGAAGAAATGGAGTGAAAGATTTATATTTATGCATGTACTTTATTTATTTATGAGTTAATTACATTATATGTCCTCAAATTACAACTCTCATTATAAATTAGTCCTTAATATTTATAATATTCTAATTTAATCCCTAAACTATGACTCCCATTCTAAATTAGTCCTTAAACTTTTGGGCATTATAATTTCATACCTAAACTATGACTCTCATTCTAAACTAGTCCCTAAACATTTAAATATTTCAATTTCACCCCAAATTCATCCAAATATATAATTAATTTCAACCATAGTTTCACCTAATTTTTTTTCTAACCTATAATAATATAACTTGGCCTAACGATTTCATTAACAAGGGAATGCTTAAAAAGTTTGGGGACTAATTTAGAATGAATGTCATAGTTTGGGGATGAAATTAAAATGTTCAAAAGCTTGAGGACCAATTTAGAATGATAGTTATAGTTTATGAATGAAATTGGAAAATTTAAAAGTTTAGAGACCAATTTAAAACAAGTCATACTTTGAGGATATATTGTGCAGTTAACTCTTTATTTATTTATACTTTATGTATGATTTTTTTCTGTCTAATTATGGATTCCATCCCTTATTTTATGAAAATTAGAAACTCATTCATTTTATATTACGTTATCATATTTTAATCCCCATATCTGATAAAAACTGAAATTTTAATTAACTTATTGGTAAATATACGAATTTTAACTTATTTTTTATGAATTTATTGTTCATAAATTTCTAAATGGTTGGGTTTTATTTATTTATTTATTTATTTTGTATATATTATATTTTGACCAAAAACAAATGTTAAATTATTTAAACGTAGAATATTGTTTTTCAACATGTTTTAACCGAGCAAACAATGCTTGTTATATATTTTAATATATATATATATATAGGTCAAACTGTTGCCCACGATTACCAACAAACGCGTAACATTCTCACCTATCACTCCATTTCATCCGAGAAGTTATATAGTATAGCATTCTTAATATATAATTAAAAAAAATATTATTGGTTTTGTTATTATTTAAATAATAAAATTGATAAAAAAAAGTTAAATAAAACATTATTATTTATATCTAAAACATCAATATTTTTTAATATTTCCGGTAAAGTGTCAAACAATAATAAAATCGATAGAAAAAATAATAAAATCGGTAGAAATAATAATGTTTCTTGTAATTTTTACCAGTTTTATTATTTAAATAATAAAAAAATCGGTAGCACCTTTTTTAGCCGTATATTAAGACTGTCGCACGTGATCATTTCCCACTTCATCCACTATTACATTCTCAACATTCTTCCTTTCCCTTTACTTGATGTTAGGGGTGTTCAAAATTTCGGTTAACCGATTGAATTGATTTTTTAGTCAATCGATCGGTTAATTTTAGATTTAGTCGGTTAGCGGTTAATGATATTTTCAAAGTTTGATTATCGGTTAATTTGGTTCGAAATCAGTTAACGGTTAAAGAAAAAAACCGATTAATAAAATTTTGAAAGTCCGGTACAATTGGTTAACCAAACCGACCGATTGAACACCCCTACTTGACATACATATTTTCCTTTATATTAATATATGTGTTAACTTCCTAAAAATGCTACATTTAAAGCCTTTTTTACTTAAGTTATTGTTTGTTTAAAAGCTCATTTTAGGATCATGTAGTTGCATATAGTTGTATTTGTGGTGGTTGTACTATTTTATTTCTCAATGGTGATGTTTGAGGGAAAGGTGCAGTTTGTCTATGGTGTGCAGGGAATAGCAAGAAAAAAGATTCTTTGGGAAGTAATGCCGCGGCATCACACGTTGCTAGAGCAGATTGAAATGCCTTGGCATTTCTGGCGCAGAAAAGGACAAAAAGATATTTCTGCATCAGGACAGCTGGCACTGGACAGCTGTCCCTGCACGTGGAGGACTGTTGTAACCGCCTGCCAGAGCTACCAATGGACCACTGCCACTTGGAGGATAAGATTCATGAACAAAATGTGATTCTAGGGGTATGAGGGGTATTTTGCACCCAACAAACTCATCATTACCCCTAGATATTTTATTTATTATATATGACACCTCATGGGAGAGAGAAGAAAGGAGAGGGAGCACACGCATAGAGCAGAAAAATCAGATTTTTATTTTTTTTTTTCCTTTCTTCTTCCTTTGAATATTCCTCCATTGATAAAGCTCCAAGGAGTGGCAAGCTAGGCGTCGAAAGGAGCTAGCGAGCTAGGTGGTTCGTGGTGGCCGAGAGGAGACCTCCGGTGGCACGTCGAAGGCTTCTTCTCACTTCCCTTTTTTGCTGCTATTTCTTTATATTATTTTGTGGGTTGTTGGAACGAATTTTCATGACTTTGTGTTTGGATATTTCGAACCCCACCATGAACTAACTTATTTGGTGGCGGTTGGTTGAATGGTTGTTTAAACTTTATTTTTAATGGTATATTTAAGTTTATTTTGGTTTTTTATTTGCTTTGCTTATGAATGCTTCGCCATCTAGGCTTGTAAGAGGCATGGAAATGTCCATCTCTTAGATGAAGGTTAGGTATTCGGAAGAATCCTAAACTAAAAATACTTGTAAGTATTCGGAAGAAACGCAAGATAAGATCCTCATAAGCAATGGGTTATGGTATTTTCAAGGGGCTTTGAACCGGCCTAGGAATATTATAACTTAATCCCTTAGATCTCGGAAGAGACTAGGATATGATTTCAACGACTAAAAAGGGTGTTTTTATCAATAGGGTAGGCTGTCCAACATCGTTGAGTGAGAGCAGATGCCTTGGCATCCTATTCTATTAGGTTCTTTAGAACACCTTAGGAAAGCCCTGTCGAGTAAGTAAAGACCAGTTAGCTTAAATATACTTGAGAAATAAGTTTAGAAACCTTAGACCAATCCCTACCATTCATTTCATTGGAAGCTTGTCACGTGAGGATTATTTTGTTCTTATTTTACTTATCTTTTTAGTTACTGTTTTTACCAATTATCATTGCCTCAACATTTCACCATACTCAACATTAAACATCCATCATTGCCACTGCATTTCCATTTGCTACACCATCACACCATCAATCCGCATCCACCAGCATACACATATCCATTGCTGTGACATTTGTATATATCAAGACTAACTATACTTAGATAGAATATTGCATTGCTTTGGTTAGACTTTTGTGATTTCACCCAATCCCTGTGGAGACGATACTCACTCATCATTATATTACTTGAGCGATTGTGTATACTTGTACATTATTTGCGTATATTTTATAGTACTCACAACACGCGAACAAGTTTTTGGTGCCGTTGCCGGGGATTGGCAGCCTAAAGTTATTTAGTTTTGCCAGAGCATTTTATTTTGTTTTGCATTTTTATTTTTGTATAGTTTACTTGATATTTTTGTTTTATTTTTCAGGTTTATTTAGTGTATGCCTAGAAGAAATTCTGAAGAGCCTTTGGAACCAATAGAACCTGAGATTGAAAGACTCTTTAGAAGAAGAAGACGTGCTCAAAGAAATATGTATCAGATTGGAAACCAAGGCATTGGTCAAGATGACGGAAATCAGAATGCCGAGGCATTAAACAATGCTGAACCTGCTATCAGGCCTCGTGTTATTCGAGATCATTTAAATCCGATGTTGGATGATCTGAATCCTGGGATTGTGGCACCCGAAATTCAAGCTGCACATTTCGAGCTGAAACCAGTCATGTTCAACATGTTGAATTCCATTGGGCAGTTTGGGGGTATGCCAACTGAAGATGCCAGGCAACACATTCGCAATTTTCTGGAAGTTTGTGATTCTTTCCGCCAAGAAGGAGTGCATGAGGATTTTCTGAAATTAAAGTTTTTTCTGTATTCATTGCGTGACCGAGCAAGGGCTTGGTTGAGTGGTGTACCAGCCGGTTCGATGGAATCATGGGCCGATCTTTGCAAGAGCTTCTTATTGAGGTACAACCCACCGAATATGAATACGCAACTAAGGAATGAAATATCATCTTTTCGCCAGGGCGACGACGAATCCATGTATGAGTGTTGGGATCGTTACAAGAGTTTGCTTCGAAAGTGTTCAAATCATGGTTTTCATGATTGGACTCAAGTAGTCATGTTCTATAATGAAGTCAATGCACCCACGAGGATGTTACTGGATGCCTCGGCAAATGGGACATTGCTGGATAAATCACCTACGGAGGCGTTTGATATCTTGGACAGAATTGCTAACAATGATTATCAATTTCCTTCCTCAAGACTTGGGAGTGGGAGGAGAGCACCTGGAGCATTCGAGTTAGAAGCCAAAGATTCGGTGTCCACTCAACTCTCCGCTATTACTAATATGTTGAAAAACTTACAATGTTCCACTGATGTGAAGGAAGTGAAAACAACTAGTCTGGCATGTATGTTATGCCAAGGCAATCATCACGAGAGCGAATGCCCAACCAACCATGAGTCCATCAACTTTGTTGGTAATTACAATCGAGGCAGCAACAATCCTTACTCAAACACTTATAATGCTGGATGGCGTCAGCATCCTAATTTTTCACGGGGAAATCAAGGAGCCCACAATGCTAATCAACCTACTAGGCAGCAGAATCACAATGAGCCTCAAAGTTACCAAAATGCTATGCCATGGCATAATGCTAACAAAGGAGCTTCATATTCAGCGAGCATAAGTTCCTTAGAAGCTACAATTCAAGAATTCATATCTACTACGAAGACAATGCTGCAAGACCATTCTACTTCAATTAAGAATCAAGGAGCTTTACTTCATAGTCAAGGCGCCTTACTTCAAAGCCATAGCTCGTCTCTGAGAGCTTTGGAAGGTCAAGTTGGTCAGATTGCTACGGCATTACAAGAGCGTCAGCATGGACGTTTGCCAAGTGATACTGAAGTCACTAAAGGGC